AGCGCTAAATTCCTCCTAACCTTTAGCTCATTGTATCCTACCATACCTAAGGTGAATAAGTAGGATACTTATTTGGGTAAAATGGGTATACGCCATACATTTTTGTGATATAAATATCTAATAAATATATTCTGCACTCTCTCCAACATGATACTATACTTAGTTTCATGTGGAGACCAGATGACCGCGTTGAATTCTAACTGGCTTCTCACTAAAGAATTATATAATGCAATAACTGCCTTTATATTAGTGAAGTCCCTAGCTACCCGTAGTACGAATACCAAATTTCTGTAGGCTTTCTTACAGATTTTGGTTATATGCTCTCGAAATTCTAGTTTAGAGGAGAAATTAACCCCTAGATCTTTGACTACTGACACTTTCGCTATTGATACCCCGTTAATTTGGTATTGGTACGTAACTGGAGATAGTACATGGCTGAAAGTCATAGTTATGCACTTCGTGATGTTAAATTATATTTTATTATATTTGCTCCAGGCTACCACCCTATCTATATCTTTTTGTAACTTTTGGCAATCCTCTCTGTTCCTAACAGCAAGATACAGTTTCAGGTCATCTGCAAATAGAGTGCAATGAGCATCTTTGACAACTAACTAGCAAAAATGTTAGTAAATGGGGAGTAAATCCTACACCTGCCAGTTTTGTGAGCAGTATGTCATTATCCACTAGTTCAAATGCTTTTTTGTAATCCAACAAAGCTACATCTACCTGTCCTCCAACATCCACTACAATATAATTAATATAATTAATTAAATTGCTGGTGGTGCGCCTGTCTGGTCTAAAACCGTGTTGCTCATCTGAAAGCTCTACATTAACCTGCGAGAGGATGCTCTTGTGTACTGCAGCCTCTAGTACTTTAGCTGGTGTCGAAAGCACAGCAACCGGCCTGTATTGGTCCACGTTTGATGCTGACTTTCTTTTGGGTACTGGGACGACCTTGGTTGTTTTCCATCTTTCTGGAAACACTGCCTCCACCGGGCACTGGTTAAAGATGTAGAGAAGGGAAGCTCTCGGTAAGAAAGTGACTTACTTGCAGCTCCTTAAGGCATTGGAGGCGTGACATGGCGACGCTCACCTAGAACACGCCTTTCGTGCGCAACTTAGAGATCGCGTGCAACGCATCAACGAAAACCTGCAGCAGTGGGCCCTTGAGGTGGAGAAGCTGGTGCGAAAAGCATACCGGTCGACACCTGAGCTCATTGAAGGGAACCTGGTGCAGACATTCATCGACGGCATCCGCGATATTGAAGTCAGAGCTGCTGTGAGGCTCGGGCACTACGTGAAGCTTAAGGAAGCCTTAATGGGCCAACCATGCACTTTAGGTTGAAGCCAGGATCATTGTTCCCATCGCGTCAGGGAACAATGATCCCGCCTCATGGCTGGTTGCAGCAGTTACAGTTCGCCACCGCAATAATGGAAACAGCCCTAGGTGGTATGGCTGTGGGGAAAGGGGCCATCTTCTATCCAGCTGCCCTAAGAGAACTGTAGAAAGGGAAGGTGATCGATCTCGAGGGGGTAGTGCGGCTAACGGCACCGCCCAGCAGCGGCAGGATCATCGTCCTCCTCACGTTAGGGAGGTTACAGCACCTACAGTTCGCGACCACAATAAAAGTTACAGCCCAAGGTGCTACGGCTAAGGGGAAAGGGGCCATCTTCGACCTAGCTTTTTTTTTAACATGGGGAAATGCCTACGCATACCCGCCTCGCGGGGGGCAAGGACGGGTTATGTCGGACTCGCACCGACTAAAACCCCATGGTGTTCCACCTTCGTCGCATATTGGCAGGGCTACGGGAACGCTTTCGCACACTTCCGCGGCCCCACCAACGACTGCCGCCCCATGGCAGCACCTCATCGGGAGAGGAATATTCCTCCCCGTTCTCCTTCCCAAGTAAGGCGCACCAGAACACATGGCACGCCTTTCTCCACGGCCTCCAATTACATCTGCGCAACAGACGCCCCCGCGTCCGATGCGCGAAGGCCATGGGGCCAGGAAAAACGAGCACTTAAAAGTACTAGCCTTCCCGACCCCAGCGGCGGATCTGGTCTATGGCTCCGCCGCCAACCAAGATTCGGCTGCGGAGGATAGGGAGAGCGGCGCCTCGCAATACCGACAATCCTCTCCCCCCTAAGCCCCATCACCACCGCATCAACGGTGCGGCCCCGTTTGAGTCGCGGAGGATAGGGCGAATGGCGCATCGCCATACCAACACTCCTCTTCCTCCGCGACTCCACCTCGGCTGCAGTGGTAGGTGGGGAGGACACACCTCTCACCGCAGTCCACCAACACACATCCGAAGTGGGCTTCCCAAGCCCACTCGGAGTGGCCACCTCGGGCCGGCCCTCCACCTCGGACCAGCCATATAGGTTCCTCTTTGTTTCGCCGTGGATGACCAAGCCACGGCTTCTAAGCCCCCCGCCACGACAAGGCGGGAACCCGTTCGGGGGGGATCTTCGACCTAGCTGCCCTAAGCAATCTGTAAAAAGGGAAAGTGATTGATCTCGAAAGGGTAGTGCGGCTAACAGCACCACCCAGCAGCAGCAGGAATACGACTTTACTATCGTACTCTGCAGCGGAAAATGGCATGGCAACACAGATGCATTGTAAAGAAGACCTTATCCCGATGATTGCAAGAATAATACTAGGCAAGAGGGTAAGGAAGTGGTATCTGTGAGGGTGCTCAGGACAGACCACCTCAGCAACGATTTGGAAGGACAGCTTACAACAAGCACAGCAGGAAGATCCGCACATCAAGCCGATTCTGGGATGGATGAAGGCCAGTGCTCTCAAGCCCAAGTTCAAGAGCGACGTTGGAGAGATGAGTTCGACCACGAAAAGCTACTGGGCCCAATGGGACAGCTTGCTGATTCAGGATGGAGTCCTGTGCCGTAAATGGGAAAATGGTCGAGGAGACAGCTGTAGTTTGCAAACGGTTGTCCCTACAGCTAAAGTACAGAATGTTCTATATCTGTACCATAATGGTTGTTTAGGAGTCCATCTGGGAGTTAAACGGACTCTACTGAAGATCCGAGAACAGTTTTACTGGGTCCATTATCGTGACGATGTCGAGGGTTTCGTATGACGTATTGGTGTCGCAAATGTACAAGTTGTGCGGCTGTGAAGGGACTTCAGAATCGTAGTAGAAGTGCATTGAAATTGTACAATGTTAGTGCACCGTGGGAGAGGACATCCCTTGACGTTGCGGAGCCGTTTCAGAAAGGTGCAAGAGGTACTTCTAAGATCATCCGTGTGGATCGACAGGCGCGTTATTATGGTGCCGATAATGCTCGAGACGAGCATGTCTTAGGAGGAGGCAGTTCGGACAGTGGTGGCACTAGATTTATCAAAGAGAAACTAGTTTCTGACCTCACACTCGAACTTTCTACACCTAGTTGGTCAGGACCGGTATTTGCTGGAATAATCTAGATGTTTCGGCGGAAAAGGCCTATATAAAGGCGTTTAGGGCCGCGACCAGTATTGAACGAGGGCGGGCAGTATTGAATTGACGATACTGCCGCAACCGGGGCAGTATTGAATTGGCGATACGAGCGAAGCTTTCAGAGCGAAATAAAGTGAACTAAAGTGTTAAGTGTGATTAATTATTATTAGTATGATTTAAGTTTTAATTGGTGTTTAGTAAATAAAGTGTCAATTTTGGTAATTCAATCGGCAGTTTTTATTGTCACGAACCTTAAGCTCGTAGCAATATGTTAGTAGCCATTAATACAAAAATTGATGGCTTTCGTGCTATACTGAACGAAATAATAGGACAAAAGCAGCACACAGTCGGGACAGCCAATCTTCCACGACGACAAATGGAGCTGTCCTCTTCAGTGGTGGCGTGGCCACAAATTTACATATCCACATCGTACCAAACTTTTTCAAAAATATGGAAATATAATGGCTTCATCTGTTCCATGTGAACGTATATTTAGCAAAACGGACATCTCATTAAATGACCGTAGGACCTGACTTACGGACTTAGGACTTACTTATTAAACGAGTAATATAATACTTTGTAATAGCGCCATCTACTACATTTTATACGTCAAATGATTTCATCGAACAATCGATTTTCAAACGCACAAAATACGCCGGATGTAACAAAAACCCTGTGGTTCCCGTTAACTGTGTTATCAGAATCAGTATCCAAGCATATAGAAAAATTTTTTTGAAAAAAAAACACATTTAAAAAAATTAATTTTATGGAAAAAAATTAATTTGCAAATTGTATGTGATTTTATTACCTCTGCATTGGCCGAGGAGTAGGAGGATTGTCAAAGACCCCGCAGTACCGATACTCGTGTGAGTTAGAGGAAATAAAACCATACACAATTTGCAAATTAATTTTTTTTCATTAAAATTAATTTTTTTAAATGTGCTTTTTTGGAAAAAAATTATTTCTATACGCTTGGATACAGATTCTGATAACACACTTAACGGGAACCACAGGGTTTTTGTTACATGTTGTATATATATATACCATGTGATACTTAATAAAAATACTGACTTCTTTTCAGAACGAAAATATCAACAAATATATAGATATTGAAATATATAGAATATCAGATATTCGTTTCCAATACATAGGTACGATTTAATATAGGCTAAAATTGATATTACCAACCCCTAAAGTTATAAAAGTCTTAAACTATCCGTATAAATTTTCAATCTATTAAGAAAATAATAATAATATATAGTAAAAACAAACAAAAGCTATCCTAAAAATAACCAAAAAAACTAGATAAGTGGGTGAGAATTGAAATGACGTATAAGCCTAAATTCACGAGGATGTGCATTAAAACCTTGATATATAAAATGTGTGTGTATAAAATACGCCAATAGGTACCTTAAATATTAAACAGCGAAGTAACATTCAAACTGAATGAAATTTACAATTAAAACAATAAAAATATTAAGGTTACATGGAAAATTCAATTCGCCGCTGAATAACACAAAACCGTGACTTTTTAAAAAACTTACTTGTAAACCGAACCGCTATATTGTAAAGAATTAAAAAAAACTTGAATAACTTTAAAATGACACTGACGCTGTTTAAATTATTTCACTTTAAAACAAAAATCGAAAAGCAAACACTTCACGCATGCTGATGTATTGTCACTTTGCAAAGTTGAATTGCGATTTGACTTCGACGACAGCGTAATAATAAATAGCACTTATCTGCTCGCTTGGTTTCGATTGCGGAAAACCCGTCGAGCTTTGTTCATGAAATTTGACATTATACACTCGGTGAGACGATAAGATACGAAATAAAGTGATGTTTGTTATTTTGACGAACGTTGTGTGTATAATGTAATATAGTTACAAATAGAAACGCAGATTGACTTTTGAAAAAGACTTTAATGGCCTTCGGCCAAACAAATAATAACTAACTTAAAAGTTTAAAACAAGATAACAAAATTAACGATTTAAAATAGTAACGCTAGGTATTCGAGCAGGGCTTCTCGGCGTCGCCAATCTTCATTCTGATCCTCTCTTGTAACAATATAATATTTTGTTAAGGTCGAGCATATTTTGGCGAATAACATGAAAAAATTTGCTCGATGGCTATATAGTTTTTCATCATTTTTAAACCATCATTCTTAGACTAGATTAGTTATTTGTATTATTGAACAAGAAAAAATAACAATTGTGGTAGAAAATCTTCATAAAAAATAATAAGAAGAATCTCCCGCCGATGTACAATTCACCACCAAAATTGGCAACTTTAAACTTTATTTCATAATTGTACTAAAAAAATTATTGTATGATGTTTCAAACTTGCATCCAGATATTAGACAATCTAGTAAACTATAGCTTTAATTATAAAAATAATAATAATAATTTATTTCGGACCCACATAAAGTCCATAATATGTTAGTAAATTAGCTTAACCTATGTTAGTCTTAAATCATTACACGTACAATTTTCATAACAATTAGTTTTTTTATTTTTGGCACCCCATGACACCAGGCACATGCAAGTGCATACGCATCCAGTGCCCTAGGATGGGACAATCAAATCTATCAGATATTGCCCTCAGAATGCTATTGGAGCTCCCACGAACCCTGCGCATGAGGGACGCTATTCTCTTTCGAATTATGGCATGAAAATTGTCCGTACCTTACGCTGTAAACATCCCTGAAGCGCTACAATACCGCGGAAACCCCATCAGCATCCTGAAGGCATTATTATATTGTACCCGAAGGGCATTGTAGGCTCTCTGCGTGTACTTAACCCATAGACTGCACGTGTAAAATGACTGGCAAAAGGCTTTGAAAAGTGTTACCTTAACTTCTTCTGTACAGTGTGCAAAGCTACGGGACAGCATGTTACAGCGAACCGCCAATGCCCTTCTTTCTCTTTCTATGTCCGCATCATCAGTCAGATCCTCAGTTAAAACGTGACCAAGATATTTAAATTGATACACTCTATTTAACTGTACGTTCCTTAATTTAACAGGTGGAATCGTTTCAATTTTTGATCCAGCTCGAAATACCAACAATTCACTTTTTTTATATTATAAATGAGACCGTGAGTCTCAGCATAAGTATCACAAATATTAAGTAATGTCCTCAGTGCGTTAATCGATGGGCTCAGCAACACCATGGTTGATGTAACAGTGGTAGAGCCAAGCGGCAGCTTTGCTGTCGCACGTATGGGCCGGCTCAAACCGGGGTGGTACCACGACCTCACAGAATACCGGCGTGAAGTGGAAGCTCTGCTTCCGCGTTTCGTCTGGTTAGTGCAGGTGGCCGGAGGCCCAAATCCCCCCCCCCCATCAACATGGTAGCGGAATTAAATGATAGACTACCCCAGGAGGGTACCAGCACCCCTGGAGAATCCCTCGCTGAGCATCCACGACCATGTTTCTCCACTTCTGAGCGTGGGTGCTCAGGCTGCCCCGCGTATTCTGGGGAGGGGGGGGCAAAATTCCGCTCAAGACTAAAACTGCTCGGGGCAAACGGAGCAACAAGACCAAGGCGACCCCTGCCACGCTGTCTGTGAATTTCTGCAATATCAGGGGACTTCACTCTAACCTAAACGCCGTCCACTACCATCTCGAGACGGCGAGGTCGGCTCTGCTCTTTCTGACCGAGACGCAGGTGTCCTCTCCGGCTGATGTCTCGTATCTCTCCTGCCCGGGGGTACAACCTGGAACACTCCTTTGTGCCTCGGGCTGGAGTTTGCGTTTACGTCAGAGAGGACATCTGTTCTCGACGCCTCGGCAGACTTGAAGGTTCGGACCTGTCCATCCTTTGGCTACGCGTAGACAGCGACGACCATCCGCGCGTCTACGGGTGCCTCTATAGGTCCCATAGCGGTAATGCCGAAACAGACCGACTCTTCGACCACGTCCAAATGGCTGCAGATTCGTTGCTACAGCAGATCCCCTCCGCAGAGATCGTGATCCTCGGCGACTTTAACGCCCATCACGCCGAATGGCTCGGTTCACGTTTAACCGATCATGCGGGGAGACCTGTTCATGATTTTGCCTTGGCATATGGTCTGACACAACTGGTTACTTCGCCTACGCGGATTCCAGATGTGGAGGATCGTGCACCTTCCCTGTTGGACCTTCTGCTGACCTCTCACCCGGACGGATATCAGATTTCCGTCGACGCCCCTTTAGGCTCCTCGGACCATTGTCTGGTCCGGAGTGTGGTGCCACTCACGCTGAAATCGCGGTTGCATTCTGCAGGCTGCCGCTGTGTTTGGCACTATAGGTCAGCCGATTGGGATGGGATGCGGTCTTTCTTTGCATCCTACCCTTGGGGGCGGGTTTGCTTCTCGCCGGACGATCCCAACGTTGTTGCGGATTCTGTCGCTGATGTGGTACTTCAGGGTATGGAACTTTTTATTCCTTCCTCTGTGGTGCCCATTGGAGGCAAATCTCAGCCATGGTTTGGTCGCTCCTGTAAAATAGCATCATGCTATAAGCAGGAGTGCTACCGAGCCTGGGCTGACGCATCAGCGTCCAGAGATGTAAACACCAGCGCTCTAAAAAAGAAGTATAATTCCGCCTCTAGGTCCTTCAAAAGAGTCATTGCCAAGGCAAAGTCAGAGCACATAGGCAGAATTGGCGAGAGACTAGTTCGTCTTCCTTCTGGAACCCGTGCATTCTGGTCTCTCGCCAAGGCTGTCCAGGGGAATTTCTGTCAGCCATCTCTTCCATCTCTGCACAGGGAGGACGACTCACTGGCCCACGCCGCAAAGGAGAAAGCCGATCTTCTAGGCTCTTTCTTTGCGTCTAACTCGACTCTCGATGACGGGGGGAGTACGCCGCCGACCATCCCGCGGTGTGAGTTCTCCATGCCGGAAGTGCAGTTCACTCAGCGCTCGGTTCGCAAAGCACTCCTCTCCCTGGACATCCATAAGTCGAGTGGGCCTGATGGAATCCCCCCCAATTGTGCTGAGGACGTGTGCTCCAGAGTTGGCACCGGTTTTAACGCGTCTTTTCCGGTACTCCTACTCCCTAGGCGTAGTCCCAAAATCATGGAAGACGGTTTTCGTCCACCCGATCCCTAAAAAAGGCGACCGCTCAGACCCGTCCAACTACCGGCCTATCGCCATCACCTCCTTGTTCTCCAAAACAATTGAGTCCATTTTAAACTGCCAGCTCATGAGGTACCTTGAGGATCACCAGCTGATTAGTGACCGCCAATACGGTTTTCGCCGTGGTAGGTCAGCTGGTGATCTTCTGGTCTACCTACTCGTGGGCGGAGGCAGTAGAGTCCAAGGGGGAGGCATTGGCCGTTAGTTTGGACATTGCGAAGGCCTTCGATCGGGTTTGGCACAAAGCGCTTCTTTCGAAGCTCCCTTCCTATGGGATTCCCGAGAAATTGTGCGGTTGGATCACCAGTTTTCTTGCAGATCGGAGCATCAAGGTCGTTGTAGACGGTGCAAGCTCCGATTGCAAGCTTATTAATGCTGGTGTTCCACAGGGCTGCGTGCTATCGCCAACGCTGTTTCTTCTGCATATCAATGATATATTGCAAACCCGTAGCATTCATTGCTATGCAGATGACAGCACTGGTGATGCTCTTGACACCGGCCGAGCTAATATTTCTCGGGAAAACGTCTCTGAGTGCCGGGACAAACTTGTGTCTGAAGTCGAGTCTCTGCTGGACAGAGTCTCGGATTGGGGGCGACTAAATCTAGTCCAGTTTAACCCCCAGAAGACACAAGTTTGCGCGTTAACCGCTAAAAAGAACCCCTTTGTCGTATCCCCTCAGTTTCAAGGCACTCCCCTTGTTGCCTCAGCCAGTATCGGAATCCTCGGCGTTGACATATCGAGTGACGTGCAGTTTCGTGGTCACTTGGAAGGGAAGGCCAAATTGGCCTCTAAAAAGCTTGGCGTGCTCAGCAGAGCGGGACAGTATTTCATGCCGGCACACCGCCTGCAACTTTACAAGGCGCAGGTTCGGCCGCTCATGGAATACTGCTCCCAGCTCTGGGCGGGGGCTCCCCAGTACCAGCTCCTTCCACTTGACCGCATCCAGCGCAGAGCGGCTCGAATCGTCGACGACCGAGTGCTTTCCGATCGGCTCGATTCACTGGCGCTGCGGAGAGATGTTGCATCTCTTTGCGTATTTTATCGCATCTATCACGGGGAGTGCTCTGAGGAATTGTTCGGATTAATCCCAGCCGCCAAATTTCGTGAACGCACTACACGGCAAACGTCCCGATACCATCCACACCATCTGGATGCTTGGCGGTCCACCACTGTACGTTTCAAAAGGAGTTTTCTTCCGCGTACAACCTCTCTGTGGAATAATTTACCACCGGTGATTTTTCCGGACCGATACGACCTGGGGACCTTCAAGAAAAGAGCTTACTCCTTTCTAAAGGGCCGGCAACGCACCTGCAATTCCCCTGGTGTTGCGGTTGATTATGGGCGGCGGTAGTCACTTAACATCAGGTGAGCCACATGCTTGTTTGCCCCCCTCTTCTATAAAAAAAAAATGTCGTCTGCATAGCTTATGCTGTTAACGAAA